TCAATATAAGCACCAAAGTTTGAATCAACATTTGCATCAACATTAGTACCAACATTAGTATCAATATAAGCACCAAAGTTTGAATACTGTAAGATGAAGAATCGTGTTGTTGATAACTATTTGGATCATAATGATGATGCTGCTGCTGCTGCTGCTGCTGCTGTTGCTGCTGCTGCTGTTGTTGTTGTTGTGAATAATCATAAGGATATTGTGAGTAAGCATTATAATTATATCCCGAATAATCATATTGATCTTGCGCTATTGTACTATTAATTTGATTCTCAGAATTTTCAATTGATCCGTTAGCTTGAGATGAAGTAGGGTAGTTTTCATCATTAGCCGGTCTAACAACATCGTAATATAAATCATTCGCATTATAAGCGTTGTATTGTAGAGAGTTATCAAATTGATTGTAGTAATAATTTGTGGAAGGGTGTTCATTTGTAATACTTAGTTCGTCAAAAGAAGTTTCAACAGAAACGTTGTTTTGAGAAACCTGGTTAGAATTTGAATTATTATTTGTATTATTTGGTAAGCTTTGATCTGCTGCAAATAATGAATCGAACGGACTTTGCTCTGAAGAATCATTAAACAATGAAGAGGCAGAGCCAGCGATCTTAACCTTTTCTTGATCTTTTAAATCATTTGTGGTAGAGATTATTGGAAAGAGTTTTTGAGAGGTGTTACTGTTGATGGGGTCCTTTCCATTAATGTCATCATTATTGCTGTTGCTATTGATGTTATTATCGTTGTTGTTGTTGTTGTTGTTGTTGTTGTTGTTGTTGTTGTTTTTGCTGTCATTATTACCTTCCATTTTTTTTTTTTAAAGGAAATTACGAACTATAAACCAACAACTCACTAATAAATAATGCTATATAAATACTATTAATTAGTTAAAATTAGTTAGGGACATGCCATATATTAGCTAATATATTAAGGGAGGTGGGCCTAGCAAAAAATATCAGGTCGCACACTTTCTTTCATAAGATCGTCGATAAAATTGACCATTATTATATACAGTCTGGGATTATACCATAAATGAAAATTGATTTTCGAATTTTGATTGGCCATTCAAAGGTTTTTTTTGAATATCAAAAACCAATAATATTACATAGAAAATCTTATTTAAAAAAATAGTTAATATACTCTCTTAAATATACAGTTTATTAATCTGTCTTCATCTGAAAAGGTTTACACATTAGCTTTTTTCCCTCAATATGAGCCATAGTTTGGCTTGAATTTTTGATTATTTGCTATTTTTTTTTTTATGTTTTTTTTTGTACAGTACCCAGATCTTTAATTCCAATTATACCCATGATGGTGAATACAAGACAACTAGCTAAGAATTTAAAATGTTTGTTTGAAGATATAATTGCCAAATATCCAGAGAGTGAACTGTGGCCATGTAAACCTGACTCACAAACAGCGAATGAATGATAAGCAGGTAAAGAAGTAAATATATATATATACACACACAAGCATAGTGACTTCTTTAAATTGGAGATCAAGTTCGGATCAAATTCAAATCCAGTTTATCACTTACTTTTTATTGCCAGAATGTTTGCCATGTATTTTAAAGCTACGTTGCACAATATAAAAAATTAGTGTAACATTTCAAATTTCCACTATGCTCAGTTGCGCCCTATCCTTTTTAATCAAAAATATTTGATAATTATTGAACCAATCATTTAATTTTAATTGGCCAATCTATAATTGAAAAAAAAAGATGAATTCATTATTTTCAAAATTATTGTTCACAACAACATCATTATGTAAATTATCATCACTGCCATCACTACCACCACCACAACCAACCATACTCATCTTTGATCAACTAATTGCTAATGGCGGTAGAATGACATATGCCACACTGAACCAAGTTATGCGAGGAGTAAGAAAAAGTAAAATTAAAAAATCAAAATCAAAAGATTTAGAAGCCTGTCCACAAAAAAAAGCCGTATGTAATAAAGTTTACACCACAAAACCTAAAAAGCCTAATTCTGCTGTACGTAAAGTTGCTCGTGTCAAACTTTCAACTGGTAAAATCATTACTGCTTATATACCAGGTGAAGGACATAATTTGGTGAGTTTATATGTACGTAATTAAGTAATTAATTAATTAATTATTAATAATAATTTATTTAAATTGGCGTAGAGTGAACACAGTGTAGTTTTGGTTCGTGGTGGGCGTGTCAAAGATTTGCCAGGAGTTAAATATCATTTGGTCAGGGGAGCTTATGATTTTAGTGGAGTCCCTAACAGAATCAGTTCCAGATCAAAGTATGGGACCAAAAAACCAAAAACTACAGCAACCAAATAAAATAAAAACAAAATAACTGTTGTAACATTAATATGATATTTAGAAAATAAAAATCTTTTTCTGGCCAATCAATATTATAAATACAGACAGAATATAGAAAAAGTTAGCAAATTAAAGCTGCCCACATATAATTACAATTGAAAATCATCTGATTTCCAAAAGTGAATTTACATTTTAATTATTTTTTAAAAAAATATAAACATAATAGTATTACTGAGGATAATCAAGAAGAATGAGAAAGTGAGTTTGATTCTTTCATAGTTGCATTTTCATTTATTCTATATAGAAGATGGCAAAATCCACAAGAACACTCTCAATATTGAAAAGATCCAACAGGTCAGGGAGATTTAATAAAATAATTGGTATGTTTTTTCCATATGTTAATTTGGAATTTTACATTTAACCTACCTAGCATTTTTTTTTTATCATTTACAGTGTTACAAAAATAAAAATGGAAATTTTTAAATGAACAACTACTGTATTAGTTCATGTGAAAAATGGCTCATTTGATGGCTTAAAATAATATTTTTATTGATAATATTTTAATAAGAAATCCCTTCGCCATTATTTTCAATGACTAGTTCACATCTCGATCTCATAGAACGAATTAAACTAATTAGAAACGAGTTAGGAATTGCATCTCACTCCTCTCAACCATAAACTGCACCAATCCCATCAGATTTTTGGAATTCTCTTCTCCACATTCCTCTTAACAATGGCCCGCGAACTTTCTATTGGGTTTAAATCAGGACTGTTGGATGGCCAATCCATAACTTCGGGAAGTTTTCTTGAAGAAATGTTTGGGATCATTATCCTGTTGAAACCCTAGCATTCTGGCATTTAAACATAAATTCTGCATCCATGATTCTCGGAAGCAAAAAAGATCGGTCTTTTCATGGATGCAAAGTTACCCCAAGCAATAATTTTTGTATGATCTTTTGGCATTGGGTGAACAGGTCTTACATTCTTATACCATCTTTCAATCGTGTTTCGGTAAAGTTGGGAAGCTGTATCGTCTGGAAAATAGGGTTTTCTCCAACCATCATTAAGATGATTTCGTGTCCACTCTCACGACGTTCTTTATGTCTTGTTGTTAGCGTTGAGATGGCTCTTGGCAAAATTTTCCTATATCCGATCCTTCCAAATGCCCTAAAACTGTTACATATGAAATCTCTATTCCTTTATTTAATATTTTATTAGCCAAAGACCTCAAAGAAATAGGAGAATCTCTACGAATATATTTCCCGATGCTTCCGCAGTAATTTTCTTTTTTCTACTGTTACCCCTTTATGTAATGTTATGCAACTGACGAGCAGAACGTATTCTTTTGCAATTACATCGATTTGGTTAAAAGATAAAACTAAGTCTTGTTTTGATGTTTTGGTAGTTAAATTTTTTAATCAAAAACTTTCCATTTTTGTATATATTAAATTATTCAATACGTATTAGTATATTTCTTTCATATAATTATAGCATATAATAAACATTATCATAACAAATATTATTTCATCTTTTGCTAAATTTATTTTTTTATTTTTTTTTATATATGTGCGATATAAAATACAAATAGTATAACAATGACTGACTACTTATTAGATGTGAGATTGCAATATAATAATATAAAATTTTCTTTTCTTCATTAAAGTTTAGCTTTAATATTATTATTTACAGTTGTGATTTCATCATATAACAAAGTAGTGATAAAATCTGAATAATCTTTACCAGCGATCTGACTTGCCAAATATCGTTTTGCCAAAATATATTTTGTACTACCAAATTTCTGAGGACCAATCTGTCTTTCCAAATTTGTAACTTCTTCATCAAGCAATTTAAGTAAATATTCACCTGTGATAACTTTACCCTCAATAGTTCTAGCACGATGTTTAGCCCATTGCCATAACTGAGATCTTGAAATTTCAGCAGTTGCAGCATCCTCCATAAGATTATGAATAGGTACACAACCCAAGCCACGAAGCCATGATTCAATATAGATAAGACCAACTGAGATGTTGTTGCGAATACTTGCTTCAGTGATTGAACCAGGGAAATTTGTGTTAAGTAAATTCAATGCATTAACATTGACATCTTCACGCCTAATAAAAATTTGATTTGGTGTTTTCAAATGTTCATTAAACACATCTAATGCAAGTTTAACAAGGTCAGGATGTGCAACCCAAGTCCCATCATGTCCTGCCTTTACTTCACGAAGTTTATCAGCTCTGACTTTGTTCATGGCAATCTGATTGGCTGCTGGGTCATTTTTGATGGGGATTTGTGCTGCCATACCACCCATTGCATGTACACCTCTACGGTGACATGTCTTGATCAATAGACGTACATATGAATCCATGAATGGAACTGTCATTGTGACATCTGAGCGACTTGGTAAAACAAAGTTGGGATTGTTTCTGAATTTTTTGATCATAGAGAAAATGTAATCCCATCGACCACAATTAAGTCCGGCAGAATGTTCTTTTAATTCATAAATTATTTCATCCATTTCAAAGGCTGCAAGAATTGTTTCAATCAATACAGTGGCACGAATTGTTCCTCGAGGAATACCAAGAAGATCTTGTGCAACATTAAATATATCATTCCAAAGTCTTTTGTTATTTTGAGAAAATATAAAAAAATTTTTAAATAAATAAGGTTTTTTATTTAAAAAAATTGATCAAACGGAAATTAAGTAAAAAATAGAAACCTTGCTTCCAAGTGTGATTCCATTTTAGGCAAATAGAAATAGGGTCCAATACCTGCTTCAATAGATTTTTTAGCATTATGGAAAAAATATAAACCAAAATCAAAGATTGATGCCGATAGTGGTTCATTGTCAATCAAGACATGTTTTTCATCTAAATGCCAACCACGAGGACTATTCAATATGTAATATGCATATATGAAATCAATATTAAAATAAAACATTAGAAATATAATTAATTTCTTTTAACACATTAAATTGAATTGGGTGGGGTTGAATGTAAATTACCGAACAATTAATGTTGCAATATTTCCATCTTTTCTTAATTCGTATTTCTTATTATTACCAGGATTAACATATGTGATTGTTTTTCGAATTGCATCACGTAAATTTACTTGACCATCAATATTATTGGTCCAAGTTGGAGCATTGGAATCTTAATATAATGATAAAAATTTATAATAACAAAATTTTTTTATTAAATTGATTGTCGATACAAATTAAAAGAAAAATTACCTTCAAAATCTGCCATATAAGTATAAGCATTACTATTCAAAGCATTGATAACCATTTTCCTATCAACAGGGCCAGTTATCTCAACACGCCTATCAACCAAACCAGGTGCAGGATAAGCACCACGCCAACTATCATTTTCTCTGATGTAAGCAGTTCCAGGTAAAAAATCTGGAAGTATACCACGATCCAATTCTTGTTGTTTAAGAATACGTCGTTGAAGTAAAGTTTTTCTTGTAGGGTTAAAAGCTCTATGAAGTTTTGCTACAAACTCTAAAGCCTC